CCCTTTGGTAACGGACCCAGGAACTGCATTGGCATGAGGTTTGCTCTCATGAACATGAAACTTGCTCTCACTAAAGTCCTACAGAACTTCTCCTTCCAGACTTGTAAAGAAACACAGGTGAGGGGAAGACTATTTCTGTAAATGATGTTTTATGGGAGACTTTTTTCAATTGAAGGTTCTGTGTATAAAAACAAATATGGTTGTTTGAGTTTTAATAATTTGTTTTATGGTCAAATGAGTTATTTGTGTCTAGGCATGAGCTAATGAATCTCTTATGCTATGTCTGTATAGAGTACATTATGAAGAGTTAGTGCAGGCCAGTATGACAGGATTATATGCATTCTGTTTAAAGTTCCAGTCATGTTCATTGAAGACTGGATATGCCATATGCCAGCCAGAAGTGCAGTGATCATGTCTTCTTTATTGGGTGGTGCATTCTTCCAGAACTCACAGAAGCCCTCCTCTGAAAGCCTTGTCAACCATGGGCTGTACATTATAATCACTGAGGAGCTTTACAACTCACATATGGGGTCTGAGATGTTTCTCAGTTGGAAAAATGCTTACCTTGCATGCACAAAGCCCTGGCTCCCATCCTCAGAACTGCATGAAGTAGCTGTGGTGAAGCGTACCTGTAATTCCTGCACTAAGGAGAGGAAGGCAAGAGGACCAGAAGTTCAAGTAACCAACTTGGTTACATGACACCTGGTCTCAAAAACAAAAACAGACTCATGATGCCTGGCCATTTCTGAAATCCTAAAATAATTCACCAAGAGTGTAGCTTTAAAAGCTCACCACTGACTTCCCATGTGAGGCCAAGTTGAGAATCATTATTGTAAAACACAATTGCTGGAGCTCAAGAGATGGCTCAATGGTTAAGAACACTTGTTGCTCTTATAATTCGGATTCAGTTCCTGCCCCTACATAGTGGCTCACAGCTATTTGCAACTCCAGTTACAGGGCCTCTGACATGCTCCTCTTGCTTCTGCACACATGTGGTATACATGACTATGTGCAGACAAAACACTCCTGTACATAAAATAAAAATAAAAAATATCTTTAAAAAGTCTCTAGTTATGCTGGGCGATGGTGCCACACACCTTTATTCCCAGCACTTGGGAGGCAGAGCCAGGCTGTGAGTTCGAGGCCAGCCTGGTCTACAGAGCAAGATCCAGGACAGGCACCAAAACTACACAGAGAAACCCTGTCTTGGAAAAAACAAAACAAAAAATTTCTGGTTTTGATGAACTCCAACCTTATGGGATATCTTGATGGTTCTGCCTTACTTCTCTGGAGCTTTTGCTCCAGAAAACAGGTAGTTGTCATATTTCTATAAACCATGTATCTCTTCCCCTTTTTATTTTGCTCTCATACCTCAAGTTCTTGTTCACTCCACCAAATGAATATTCTTCTTGGGTTTCTTTTCTTATTTATTTTATGCTCTACTTATGACTCCTGCAGGATGTTTTCATCACCTATGCTAGTACTTTGTCATTAAAGTCTCCAGTTTGATTGTGTTTGTTCTCTCTGTATTGAAGGAAATACCTTCTCTTTTCTATATTACCTCATATTATTCCTATATTACCTCATATTATTCCTGCCACGAACTACAAATGGTTCTTTGAGGAGAGTTTGCATATTGAAAGTAAATGTTTAAAGTATGGCTAATATATAATACTATTTCATAAAATACTAAGCTAATTAAACAATTAACAGATACTATTTGTATGAATATTTTTATATACATTTTTTTGTATGCCTCTTTGGGAAACATATGTATACTTTGCAAAATTTTAAAAGAATAAGATGGGGCATTTGGAGAAAGGGTTTACCTTTTCTTGAACAACTTGTTCTTGTTTCATGAAAAGAGATGGCTAAGATTTGTGGGTCTTCTGTATTTAGAATGTGGCTTCTCTTTGTCAATTACTTTTATTTCTGGGTGAATAGAGGGATGACAGTGTTTATTCTGTGATTTGTGATTTAAGGCAATTGTATAGCTTTACCTATACACAACCTCACTTACGTTAGTACTTTCTCACTGAAGCATTTAAATCATAAGCATATACAGGGATTTAGACAGACAAAGCAAGATTCAAATTTTGAGACTTAATGTCACACCTGCTAAGGGGCATAAGCTCTGGCAAGCTCCACTTGTCTTAAATTTGACACTTCTCTATCTCCCTGACAACTTTGTTCCCCTTCTTTCTCCTGTGATCAGAAGATCACTCCACTGGAGGCATTTCCCCCCTCCATCATCGAATAGCGTGAGCCTAAAAGCGTCATTGAAAACATTGTATGACTCCAAATTGCTCATTCACTCTATTCTTGGAAGCCAAGAATAGATGCTAGAAAAGCAAGCAAATGTCTGTCCTCCTAAAGACTTATCCTCAATGGGCTCAACTCTAGTGGTGACCTGTGACCTAGGAGTTGAGGACTGTCCACAGACTTGAAATATATCTTCTCAGGGTTAGCTTGCAAGTTTCAACAAACCAAAAGTAGCTATTCAGGGATTAAAAAATAATATGACATAATAACTAGTAATCAGGTTCAAAAATGTGAAACTTATCTGTTTTACTCCAAATCAGCACAGAACAGAAATAACATCAGCCAACATGACTTCATCTCAGGCCCTGTATACAGTAGAGTCTCAATCAACATTGTACCCAATGTATGGTTTGGATGTAGGCTCTCACCATATAAGTGACACAGTCTGGAGAGTAAGAAAGTCAAAACATACAACATTAAATGCAGTTCCATGTTTCTGTAAAGCATTATCATCCTGAATTTTTTTTTAAAAAACTTTTCTTCTGGGGTTGCTTTTGGTTCATTCATTGATTTCCAATATTTTTCTTCCACTATTGCAGATCCCTCTGAAAATAAGCCGAAAGGCAATGTTTCAACCAGAAAAACCTGTTGTTCTAAAGGTTGTGCCACGGGATGAGATCATAACTGGAGCATGACTTTCTTTCAAGGACTTCCACCGTGTTCTTCAAGAAGGTGATATCTAAGAACACTGGACTCTTTAATTTACTTCAGGAATAAAACGCAGATGAAGATGAGGCTTAATTTCCTGGCCTTGATGCATGGTTATGGATTCAGTACATCCATTGAGCTTTCTCAGTGTCAATACAGAGTACCATCTAATGTAAAGGAAATGACTAAATCAGTTGACAGAATGAGAAATTCACCTTCTCTGGTCCTCATGGGGCTACTTCCATCCACATTTCTTTTGAGAGTAACTATGCTATTGTAATGTAACAAACAATAATTTTTAAATGAAAATCTGGACCACTGTGACAATTTTTATTGTAAAACTGGTATCAGATGCTCTAGTTGCAATATTCTGCAATAAATGTTACACTGAAAATGTAAACATTTCTATTTAAAAATAAATTTATTTTATATCATAGCTGCAGTTTTTCCTCCCTTATTTCCTCCCAGTCCCTTCCTCTGCTGCCCCCCTCTGTTCCCACTCCCCAATTCATTCCTCCTCTGTTTCTGTTTAGGAAAGGGCAGATTTCCCATGAAAGCCAACAAAATATGGCATATCAAGTTGCAGTAAGACTAAGCACCTCCCATGAATTAAGGCTGCTCAGAATGAGGAGTAGGTTCCCACAAGCCAGTAAAAAGAGTTGGAGATAACCCCTGTTCCCACTGTTAGGAATCCCACAAAAGGACCAAGCTACACAACTGTAACATATATACAGAGTGCTCAGGTCAGTGCCATGCAGGCTCCCTCATTGTCAGTTCAGTCCCTTTGAGCCCCTATGAGCCCAGGTTAGCTGATTCTGTGAGATTTTTTTTTTTTGTGGTGTCCTTGACCCCTCTGGCCCCTACAATCCTTTCTTCCCCTCTTCTGTGGGATTTCCCGAACTCTGCCTAATGTTTGGCTGTGGGTCTGCATCTGTTCCCATCAGTTGCTGGATGAAGCCTCTCTGATGACAGTTCATCTAGTCACCAGTCTGGTCACAGGCGATGGTCAACTCCGGCTATATACCTGCTATTGCTAGGAGTCTTAGCGGGGGTCATCCTTGTAGATTCCTGGGAGATTCCTTTGCATCAGGTTTTTACCTGAACCTGAAATGCCCCCACTTTCCAGTAGTCTATTTTATTAGTCTCCCTCTTTGTGCCCCCAAACCTGATCACTCATGTTCCCATCCCCACCTACTCTCCCTCCACTTGTGAAATCTCTTCTATTTCCCCTTCCCATTGAGATCTGGGCATCCCCCCATAAACACTTATTTAAATTTCTATTTTATATTCTTTGAGAACTTCATATTTTGATTATATTAATTTCTTTCCTCCAACTGCTCCAAGACCCTCCTCCACCTTCCTTCCCACCCAACTTTATATTCTCTCCAACTGTTTCAAATCAAACCAAACGATGGGGTCCAGTTCATGTTGGATAACTATTCCTGGGTGTAAGGCCTGCTCTGGAGTGTAGCTGGCAAACACAATGTCACCCCATTGATGAAAACTGACTTTCTTATCTCAGGAGCTATCAATTGACAACATCTCCTTGGCTGAGGGTAGGACCCTAAGCTCCTCTACACTGAGATTTTGTCTGGTTTGAGCTTGTGCAGATCTTGTGAATTCTGTCACGGTCTCTGTGAGTTCCTATGTGCATCTGCTATGCTGTGTCTGGAAAAAGTTGTTTCTGTGAAGTCATCCACCACCTCCAGCTCTTACAATCTTTCTGTCTTCTATTCCACAGAGATCCCCAAGCCTAGAGGGGAGAGGTATGATATAGACATCCTGGTCAGAGCTGAGCATCCCAAAGTATCCTCCTCTCTTCATGTTGACAAGTTGAAGGTTTTTTGCTAATTACTACCTACTACAAGAAAAATCTTCTTTGATGAGGGTTGAGTGATACACTATTGTGGGGATATAGCAATATGTCATTAGGAGTCTTTTTATTGCTATATTCATTTAACAGATTAACAGTAGTAGATATTCTTCTAGGTGTCATTATTTATCTAGTTGAATATTGTTGGCCTTATTTACAGTGTTGGCTATGGGTTCCATCTCATGAGGTGGGCCTGAAATCTGATTTAAAAAGTGGTTGGTTTTTCCCATAGCATGTGTGCCACAATTGCACCAGTGGGCATGTCTTTCAGGTCATATTATAGCTTATATGGTCCACAGCTGGGTGAGACTGATGATTACTTTTCTCATCCAGTGTTGTGTGTAGCACCTTCCAGTACTGTGAACACTACCCACTGACCTGTGTTTTCATATGTGTTAAGAGGGAAGATAGAAATCAGAACCAAGAAGAACCAGAAATAAAGTACTTCTTAAAATAATTTTATTAATTAATAACTTTAATTCTTAATTAAATTCCCATTAATAATTTTATTCTTTGAGAATTTCATTCATGTACACAACATATTTTATTCATTTACATCCCCCACTTCCCTGCTCAAATTCCTTTGGATGCCCTCCAAGTCCCCCTCCCAACTTCATGTCTTCTTTTTGTTTATAAACCTCTGAGTCTAAATAGTGCTTCCCATATGTGTATAGTGTGGGGTCACCCACTGGAGCAGAGGCAACATCTGGGGCTACACCCCTGGGAGAAGCTGACTCTTCCTCCTCTAGCAGCCACCAACAATCATGAGCTCCTCAGATCTGTGGGAAGGACTCATGAGCCCTTCCACATCCATGCTGGAATGTTGACTGGCTGATCTTATGTGGGTCTTGTACAGGTAACCGGAGCTTTTGTGACTTCGTGAGTGTGATTGTTCTGTCATGTCCAGAAGACACCAAGGAACTGAATCCTTTTGGCCTTCATGGTCACTGGTATGTAGATCTGGTTTAGATATAATCTTATTAGTACAGGTGAGAGCTAACCCTTGTTGACTTTTCCTATTGCTTGGAACTATACCCCTTCATTGTGCCATCATTTGTGTGTATGTTGTATGCTTGTGTATGTAGTCATGTGCTCACAGGGGTGTGCATATGTATGTAAGTACACAGGTTGATGTGAGGATGTCTTCCTCAATTGCTCTCCACTTTATTAGTAGTGTTTTAAATTACATTTCAGCATGTGTGCACACCTGCAAAGGGATCACGGTGCCTATGTAGAAGTCATAAGACAACTTG